ATGTAAAGAATAAAATACACGATCATATATTTTTTCATATTTATAGAAATATACTAAATATTCTATATGATAACTAAACATTTATTACGTGAATGTTTTATATTAAGTGCAAACTGCAGGGGTGGAGACATTTTGACGTCTATGTTTCTGTATAAACGATGAAATAAGTAAAGCTAGCTAGCTAGCTCTGAGCTAGCTAGTGTGGTAGCCATAAATAGCCTTAAACTACATTTACTTATTGATTTTTCCTGGATGTTATTTTAAATTAAAACTAAATGGCTGTAGCATGTGTGAACCCAATCATGACGGAAAAGAAAAAACAACGGCTGTAAAAGTTAGCATAACTTGGAGTAGCAGTAGCTGTCATTCTAACTTTTAGATTCAATGGTTTTAATTTAGTTAAGTTACATTAAATTACATTTTTAGATGTAAATTAAGTCATTACAATCTTGATATTAATAGTAAAGAGACAGACGGGATAGTTACACATAGAGCCTATAATCCCTGTAGGCTACGGGCTCCCTTAAACAAATAAATAAAGATGGTCATACCTGCATGTTTTAGGTATTTATGTAGTTTATAGTTTCATATATAAAATAGTTGCCATAAAACAAAAAGATACGCTGAACATTTTCTATCTGTTGTGCAGTTTCAAACGAGTCCATAAACTTCAAACCTTCTTTTCTCAACTTCACTGCTTCTGTGGTTAACTGCTTTCTGTCAGTGCACCTAAAAAGTGTTATCTCTGACGCTTGATTGTTTATGTGCTGCTTAGATATGATACGCAGAGGGTTCAGAGCAAAGGTTTAAAAAAAACTCTCAAAGTACCACATCAAATCTTCTCTGGCCACAAAGGCCTGCGTTGTTTATAGGGATGATCTTTTACAGCTGAAGTCATGAGGTTTCGTGTGCTGAGAGTACGATCAAGTAAATATGATCACAGGATCCTTTGACAGCTGACCTGTGCTCAACAGAGAGGCAACACAAAGAGACCAGAGCTATTGATTAAGTCAACACAGCCTCGTCTGTCTCTGCTGGTCTCTTCACTTCAGCGCTCTTAATGACAGACCAAAAAAAAATCTTTTATGACCTACATCCGTAATCATACGAGCCTGCATGTGGTCAGGGCGTCATTTAAAGTATTGAAACTATAGTTTTCTCCTTTACATTAATCCTTTTACTTCTAATTACCAATTACCTAATAGCGGCGCAACAAGGCTGTCCCAATTTCAAAGCTCAATGCAGCCAACAAACATGTCCGTCATCCCCCCCGAGCAACGGAGGCTCCACTGGGTGGATCCTTCCTGGCCCAACATATCACATGATTCATTGTGCTTCAGTGACAAACTCTTTTTCAAAGAGGTAATGGCGGCAAAAAGTGAGGCAAAAACATCAGAAGAACTTATTGGCAAATGTAAGAACTCAACAGCAATAGGAAGACCAGACTGTCTAATTTTGGAGACATCAACACAGCCGTTAGGCGATGTTGCCAACTTCAGCTGCATAGAACGGGTCCGTCGAAGGATGCACCCGCTGAATTGGGACACAGAAAATCACAATATTTTTGTTTACAGCACATTGACACCGATGTCGGCCCTCACCAAAATCTCTCTTGACATCTTTGTTGGTGTCTACATGTATGGCACCGCTTTTGGAAACGTGTTTGAAACATCAACACACCCACTTGCTTTTCTCTGTTGTTGCTGTTGTTCTCACGTCGGCTCATCTGGACTTTGAGTCTGCTGGCTCTTTCTCAAACATTAGCGTTCACATATGCAGCCCCTCCGCAGGATGTTTAGTGGATCTTCAGAGTTCAGTGCACGTCTGAAAGGAGCTTAAGACAAATCTTTTCAATAATTTGTCTTCCCTGGTGAGAAAATGACGTCACCTCGATCTGCATGAATCAAATTTCCCAACAGATAAACCAGTGATTCTAAGAACGCTACGCAATTAGAGACAAACAGTGTTATCTGGAGAATAGGCCCCTCTGAGTGAACAGCAATGCCATTCTAAACAGACACCCAGTCACTGGAGGAGACAAGAGAAATGAAAGAGAATCGTCTTTAACAAGATGCAGGAGCTCAATAAACAGGCAAACATTCCTCCAGGCGGTCGGAGTAGAGGGGAATACACGATCATCTCCATTCTGATGTGGTGCAGTCAGAGGGGAAGGCTGGGGATCACTTCCGAGCTGAGACAATCAGACCTCAGAGGACGCCCCTAACTTTATTTGTTCCACTTGACGGTCATAAAGAAATTATGCTCCTTGATTCACCATAAAGTCAGCAGGTTTTTGACAGCCTGCACTGCTTTACATCCAGCGTGCTGTTCTCCGAGGCTGCTCCGGATTCTTTATTGCACTTCTATCTGAGAGAGTGACGGCATTTATCTTCGATAAGATGTGATGTACAGGAGGAGAGCATTATGAATTTTAATGACACTCAAAGATCAAATGGATGTGCTGTAAGAGATGAAGAAGACAGTGGGAAGACACCAGAGCTGCAAGAGTAAATCAATCAAGCACCAAGTCAGTAAAGTCAAAAATACCAAACATTCTCGTGTCCCTCCTTCTCCAGTGTGAGGATTTGATCATTTTCTTGTCATGTATGAGTAAACTGAATACCTTTGTGTGTACGTGCAATAGAAAAATCAATTTGAATACATCGCATTCGGCTACAGGGAAATTATTCAAAACGACTTGTGAGATTAAAAAAAAGCCAAATTCCACCTCATATTCTTATTATTTCTGTGAATCAATGTTTTTGTTTATTTTATTCTAACTGCAAAAACACCCACAGGGTATATTACCTGCACTGGCCGTCTATGGATAAACACGATAGTCTGACTATTGAACCCACACCTAAAAAATATCAACTATTTTAAATTCTTTTATACTTCTTCTAATTGCCATATGTTCTGAAACAAACAAATAAATAATATAATAAATAAATGATATCATAAATAAATAATAATTAATAATAAATCCTTCTACCTCTCTTCCCATGCTCCTCCTACTATCAGCATGACTGCATTTAACGCGTTGCTATCTGAGAAATCAGTCATGTGCTTAATTATCATTGTAAAAGGGAAATCAAGGTTATAAAGATAATTTACCATTAACAATACATGATCATTCCCCCTCTCTCCCTCTGACACTGCTGTGAAGCTGCCTATGGAAGGAAAGACATTAGAGTCTCCAAATCATAGTGAGGACAAACAGCTTCAGCATCTCAGCAGTGCTAGTGAGAGTTTAAAGTGCCCACTCGATGGCACTTTCCTTTTACGATGCGAATGATGTGTATAATAGGAGTCTGCTGCTTGTAATGTTTCCACGTTAGGTCATGGTGGAGGTTTGTGTAGTCTCGGCGGACCTGTGGCTGCGGTTTGTATCCTCCTCAGTTGCACCTGCTTTTCAGCGAGAGCCCCGGAGCCACCTGGCCCGAACCAAAGAGCGGCAGTAAGCACCTGGAATAGCTTGAAAATGACTCACGGTGAGGAAAAATCTACCTACAGGGGAGTTCAGGCCCTCGCAGACAGCAAAACAAGTGTCTGTTTGTCAGATCACATCTTTCAGGTCAGCAGCTTTTTGGCATTAGGGCAAATAGGAACACATTCTGGGGTTTGCTAGAAAAAGTCCAGCCTTTACTGTACTGCTTAAGGCAATGCCCTTTTTTGTGCTCTAATCTTTATCTACTGCGAGTTGACAGCATATGGTAAAAGACAACAAAATGTAGCCTGAGGACGTCTGTTTAATCCAGGATGGCAAGCATCCCAGAATTCGAGGAGGTTGTCAAAGCAAATGCAGACGTGAGCTTTTTGTAAAAACACATTAGAATATAGAGCTCAAATCTGAGTGACCTGTGACCCTGTGGTGACTGGGCAGGAAGATAAAATCAAAACAAAACTTTTTACTCAAGTTAGTTTGACGACACTTGTTTCTAAATGAGGTTTTTACTTTCTGTAAAATCGACATCCTCGCATTTAAGCCTGACACACACCTGGGTAAAGAAAGAGTCATGGTTCCTCAAAGGGTCTGACAAGTGAGTGCAGATCAATATCGCTAGTATGTGTTAAATTTCAAGATTGTTTGATGTCTGGACAGGTTGATAGGGAACAGGTTGAGGCCTGATTCAGGGGCTGAGTCACCTCTCTCCTGGTTTCTTCTTTTCTTTTACATCGCCATAACATGAGACGGTGCAAGCTGGATTAAATATCATTTGTGTGAATTATTTCTGTGTGACAATCAGTGAATCCTGCTGACTGAGCTGCTCATGCACCAAAGCAAGAAGAAGAAGAAGCTTCCCAGATTGAAAAAATGCCCTTAAATAAATATATATAGATATACAAAATGTCATGAAACTTTATTTTCAAAAGTGTCATGAAAATATGAAAAGTATCAAAATCATTCAGCATCACAGTTTTCACTGTAAATATACAATCATCTCAGTCACGCTTACATTCAGGATATAAAAATATAAAATGAAATTGTTGTTGAAAAATACATATTATTGCCAAAACCTGTAAATCTGAGGCACTTGAGAATTAATAGTGTTGCTATTTGAGTGCTGGCAAACCTGCTTCTAATGACTGTGCAAAAGTTCCAAAGATTTCGCCCTAAAAACTAAGTTTGCACTTGTTCCCTAAGTAACCATGGCTTCAGAATTCCTCAGGTCGAATGTATACTGTCGTTCATAATGCACCTTTTGGTATAGTTTGAATAAAAAAAGTGGAGGACTGTGTAACAGCCATTGAATGACATTGGTACAAACACTGACGATAACATTGAGAAGGCATATAACACACTCTAAACATGCAGGAAAGTGCATGAATAGCACAGGTAGGTGAGTACATGTTTGACAAAGCTCGACACTGATTGCAATCATAGAAACACTGCTTGAAACGAGAAGCACGTGAGCACAGAGCTGTTTCTCACTCTGAAATGAAATCGACCATTCGTGGGGAGAAATAAAAGTCTGCACACTAGGGAACAAACCCCCTCGATGTGATTTCCTGACAGTTCTCCAATTGGGCTTGGAAAAAAAAGAAGCAACAGAGGAGTTTTTCTTTTTTTCTCTGGTGGTGGAAAAGTATCCCAGTTCAGTGTGCTACACAACAACCAGATTCCTCATGCTTGTGCAGAAGAGACATCCTGGAGAAGGTTTTGGAGCAGTTCTTGCATTGGTATTTTTTCACATCTGAATGGGTCTGTAGGTGCGCCCTGAGATTGGACCTGTCCGCAAACGCCCTGTTGCAGTGAGGGCAGGAGAACGGCTTCTCTCCTGTCAGGAGGGGAAACAAGAAGAGAGAGAATGTCAGTGATTGAACAATAATAAATCAAATGTCACACAACCATGGCCTGTTATTATTGAGATGGCAGAGATACACTCACTGCTGAGGGATTATAATTAGAATTTTGTCCAAAAGGAACAAATGTTTCTTTGCAGAATCACCAAATCTAAAAATTACCCTGAGAGCTTAACATCTTGTTCTTCTCAAAAGCAACTTCTCCAATCTCACTTCAAAGTTTTGTAACAGGGTCAAATGCAGCTCTGAAGGTTGTTAAATTATGTACCAGGTGGAATCTGTGTCTGCAAAAGCCCAGAACAACAATAGAAACTAAACTCTCCACACAGGAGGCCCCTGTCGTGCTGCCTCAGCCACTCACCGGTGTGCGTCCTGATGTGTCCTTGGAGCAGCCACGGTCTGGAGAAAGCCTTCCCGCATATTTTGCAAACACAAGGCAAAGTGTGAGTCCTGATGTGCATTTTGAGAGCTCCGAGGCTCACGTACTCCTTCTCGCAGTATTTGCAGCTGAAGGATTTCCTCGTTTGGGCGTCGCAGTGCAGCTGTTTGTGCTTGAGCAGTCCAGAGTACGTGGAGTAGGACTTGCTGCACAGACCACACTGGAATTTCTCTGCCTCAACTCCGTGCGCGTCCGTCAGCTTGGGGAGCATCTGCTCGTCCTCATCGCTCCTCGGGCTCTCGGAGCCGCTATGGTCCTTGGATGAGGTGTCGGAGAGCGACGAGGGGTATCCAGAGATGGGGGAGAGGTCACTGGGGAGCGGGGACAGCGGCAGGCTGCTGGTAGTCCACACGGTGATGGGGCTGTACGCTGCCGGGCTCAGGATCTCCGGCTGGGGGATGACAGGCAGGGGCAGGCCCTTGTAGATGTGCGGCGTGAAGAAAACTGGAAGTAAAAAGAAAGAATGAAGTCAGCGGAACTTTTACGCACAACTGTCAGTGCCTAAATTTCAGAGTTGGGCAACAACTTTAACAACTTCTACAAAGTAAAAACTTTGTATGAACTTTCTGTCATGTAAGAAACTACTTTTACAAAAGTAATTTAGGTTACACTTTTCCTTAACTTTGAAAAACTTTACCTGTTGGGCATTCCAACTCACTATAGTTTGGCTTCTTTGCGGAGTTTATGTGTTTCTTGACCAGAAAGGAGCGTGGCATCTTGGAAAGCAAGTGGACAACTTTGACAAACTTGGTTTCTCTCTCGGTAAATATAGCGGTGGACGTCAGTTTAGTGCGTAAAGACGGAAAATCCTTATAGTTTAAGTCCAGTGGAGAGTCATGGTGCAGCGCTGCGCTCTTGGAAACAGTGCAGTGAGTAGCTGTAAAGAGCCGTAAATACTCCCTATCAGGTGCATGGGAGGAGCCATCCACTGACATTTACATATACTGGGATCACAAACCAATTACATCTCGTGTTTGAAACGGAGCTTTAAAAACGCCTGTAGGGGCACATGACCCTCCAGAGGGGGGTGGGTCACTACTTCATACTCCCACTTAAACAGGTGCTTTGTGGGGAAGCGAAGTGAACATGGCACCGTGCATTTGGCCTTGGTTGTTACTCTGAGTGACAACAAGAGCAGCAGTAGAGTCAGTTTCCACATTTGAGAGCAGACACAGTGAGCATGAGCTTGTATCTGATATATTCCTGCAGCTACAGAAAGATCATGAGAGAGTGACGTGCTCAGGGGAGGGAAAGAAACAGAGCCACAGGGAGAGGTAGAGAGAATAGTTTAAAATGCCATTGGTAATGCAATCATCACACAGAGCGTGCACAATGATTGTTGTTCTAAACCACTGGGGACTTGATTATCCTGTATGGGTGGAATATTTGAATGTGAGAATAATCCCACTAACAGCAGCTCGCCTAATGATGATGATAATGAAGGGGGACGGAAGATTTGTCATTTACATGTATAGAAATGTTCATATCTACATATTCTGATCTATTGAAGTGACAGGTCTGTGGCTCCAAAGCTCAAACCAGCAGCTGGACCAAACTGCATGCCTCCTTTGTCATTCTGTGGCTCTGCCAAAGGATGGCTCTCCCTAATGCAGTTGTGTGTGGAGAAAGACACACATTTCGTCGCCAATAATGCAATAAGGCATCCCTCCTTGAAATCTAAATCTAAGTGTAGTTCCCTCTCAAGGTCAGACATGATATCATAATCAAATTTATCTCTCCCACAGCTCCTGCTCAACTGGACAATTGGAAAGGCAAACTTAGCAGTCTACGCCCCCTTGTGTTCAACTGCGTCCTTCTGAGAAGGAGGCGTGAGTTGCACATCTTAAACAGTAGCAAAGCAAAGGGAGAGGAAACACAAAGGCTTTAGCCGTGGTGATATTGAAAAGCAGCTCCTGGAGCAGTTTGATTGGCTAGGTCAGCAGATATGAAAAGCTCCCTGTGTCTGGGGCAGGCCTTAAGTTAATTGTGAACAGCTTATCTTATCTAGAAAACATAATTGCAGATCATGAATAGTTTCCCTTTGTGCCTGCTTGGATTATAAAGGGAAGGGAAGGTTATCTGTGCATAATAACTCCCGGCTACTGTCACACATTTAGTGCTCTGTGCTGCACAGCAGGATGGGCGAGGAGAGGAGTGGCGGTGTTTGGTGGGGATCCACCATGAACACCATGAACACCATAATAGATAATACTTCTGAAATCAATATCGCCCACCCACCCAACCATATCCGAGAGGAGAGAAGCCATGCTTGGCCAGGTGAAAATTACCTACTCACAGTTTTCATGGTTCACCTCTGTTCTCGTCTCACGGTGCATGTGGAGGCTGTTCCACTGACAGTAATGAAGGGGGAGGGAGAGCAAAGCAAATCCTATCACTAACTCTGAAAAGCAGAGGCAGAAGTTTATGAGCTCGAAAATTAATTAACAGAGAGGAAGTCGTGTATCCTCCGCTCAGCGTTGTGTCGTAGCATGATGGTGTAACAGTGTAAATGAGCTGGATTATATAATAAACCTTTTTTTTTTAATTCTCTGGTCAAACGCAGGTAAAGGAATGATATTTGTCTTTAGAGGAAGCAGCAGCTGATTAATAAAACATGCAGCATCTTCAGCTTCCTTCAGATTCAGATTTAGATGAATACGTGATGTCTTGCGGAATCCAAACATGCATTTGGTAAATTCTTACTAAAGCTCAAACTAACTGTCCCAAATGTGTCCCAAATTAAATTACTGACTGATAGAATGAAAGCTGGAATCAAAGTCCCTGTTTCCCCTCCTCAGTTCATTTTCTTCCTTTTGCAGTTTTATTCCCATCTCCCATTGCCTTTATGTAGCTTGATCCTGTTCATAACCTTGATTTTTTCAGTATCGAGACATGACAGTAGATTTCCTATCTGGATACAGTGTGTGTTCATTCCTTTAATACTGTTTACAAGGTGTCTGGTACATTTCATAATTTGTTTACTCGCTGCACAGAGCCATCGATTTTAGGTGAAGTTGTAGTTTGATGTGTCCAATTCAAACAGTGTGGAAGCCATGTCCAACAATCAGGCCCTGTGTCCCAGTCTATTACCCCTTCAGTAATTGTCTCCCATGAATACTCTTTCCTGTAGCGCCCCCTTCTGTGGTTGGTGTTAGGACCTAGTGTACATTAGGGTTAGAGGCAGAAGAGGTGTTTGAGGTTAGGGATAATGTTCGGTTTGGGTTAAGGTTAATGGGAAATGAAAATTGATTGGACGAACACCAAGTTTGATTTCAGTAGAATATACTGGTCTATATATTTTACTGCCTCCATTACTATCACTTGTATGTACAGTATTTGTATAGGCTCAGGTTACTACAGCATGAAAACTGAATTTTTCAATGACAAAGTGTCTGCAGGCCTGTTTATTGTAGATACGTCGCATCATATAGGCTCCTCTTGATCCTGATCCAACACTACCGTTTCATATCAGATACAGGAAGGTGAAATGTGTAATAAGATCAAATGTAACTCCTTTTTAATGCCTCTTCTGAGACCTGAAAGCTAAACCACAGCCATTACCTGGCTGTTAGCTTTGGTTTGCTAATGGATCACGGTTAAGCCATTAGGAGGGACAGGGATGGAGAGACACGTGTGAAGTCACTGAGTGCTTCCATTTGCTATCTTCAAATCACACCACCTCCCCCTTCGTATGGACAACCCTGATAACATCTGCTGGATGAAGGACCGTCAGGGATAAACTGGTCCAGAGCTGCAGGATTTGCCTTTTAATTAACAAGCTTTTCAAAATAAAAGACTCAATCTGCGTTGGGTCATACACTAAAATGTGTACGTGCTCCTCAGTTTTATGGATTACTGCTGCCTGTGGTTGGTGGGCAACATGAAATGTCATCAGAGGAGTCAGCTCTCATCATGTGGGGGAGACAGCGTGGGATCTCTTGGCCTGATGACAGCATGGAGACTGAAGTGCACCTGGTCGACCTGCTCAGCTGCTCAGGCGAGGGCCTCAGAGAGGAGTCCAAATACTACTCTGTGTGTACATGTGTGTACTTGTACAGATATCTTTGTAAGGACCATATTGAGCCTAGAACTATATGTGTCGAGGACATTTTGGCCAAGTGAGGAAAATGGTAAAGTGGGGACATTTTGACTTGTCCTCAATTTCTGACCCGCATGTTCCAAATGCTATGTAAGGTTTAAGACTTGCTTATCGAGTGGTTTAGAGTAAGGTTAGGCTTAAGGTAAGGATTAAGGTTAGACGTTTAGTTGTGATGGTTGAGGTAAGGGTGATGGCTTAGTAAGGTTGTTTGTGTTTTTTAGGTTTTGGTTTATGTTTAGGTTAAGTCTGCTTAATTTAAGGTTCAGGTTAACTTTGTATTTAGGTTAGGTTAACTTTAGGTGTGGGTTAAGGTTAGGTAAGGTTAACAATTACGGTTAGACAAGTATTCTGATTAGGAAGTAAATCAGTGAAAATCTATGTAATGTCCTCTGCAGTCATGGAGTGTGTGTGTGTGTGTGTGTGTGT